GAATGAGGAGAAAGAGAATGAGAACCCTTGGCCCAGGTACCCTGAAGTTCTCCAGCCGTTGTAGATGGCACAGAGAGAAAGAGCTCTTAGGCATGAGAGAGCGAGTACAAGCAACATTGGGGTCAACTTCCTCACCCCTAGCTTCCAGATTTTCAAATTTATTTACAGGTTATCTCAACACCCCTCCTCACTCAAATTAATTTCATTTGAAATGTTGCTATGAGATTCTGTTCAGATCCAAAGCACTCAAATACCCAGCATAAAACCAGAAGATTAACAGAACACAGTAAACGTATTCTCTTTTTTTCTGTAGAGGTTCAAAATGCATATATGTCCTTGCTTACAATCACTGACTGAATGTAGTGAGATGTACAGGAGTTATCAAATACATTTTTTAATTTTTTGAGAGAGAGAAAGAGCAGCATCAAAGACAAAAAAGCAGAAGAGCTCTCTACTCAGACAAAGCTGACTTCCTGAAGGCTAAATACTTTGCTGCTTGCTGGCAGCCCAGTTTCAAAATCTAAAATCCACTTCATATCAGATTTACAATATTTCAGTACTGGTGACTCAGGTAATTTTGATATATAACGGCTTTCTTTAAACCTGAGCTCCCTGAAAAATGGTTGCTTAGGAAGCCCAACTTTTATTAAAGAAAATATTGATGCATGGCTTGGGATAGAAAAGCTTGAAAATATAACCCAAGTGTAGAGCTCTCAAAATCCAGAGTGTAAACAGAAAAAGCACATGAGAAAAAAAAAAAAAAAAAACTGAAACAAACTCACTATTTCACAGGGCTTCAATTTATCAATAGAATGAAAGAGTTAGTCAGCATTTTCTAAGGCAAACATTGCCAGTCAAAAGCCATCAGAGCAACCACAAGCCATTCCATAATGCTACCCAGTAACTCATTTTCCTCTTTGGGAGTTTATACCTTTTACAAAACAAGGAAACATTTTTTTTTTCAGCTTGAATGCTCCCTGCACTAGGTTATTCAAAAGGAATATGTTCAATAGCAGCCAGACTTGCACAAACCTCAGTAATATTGTATTTTGGAACACATTTTTTGTGAGTTCACATTTTTTTTTCAGGAAAAACATAATGCTTCCAATTATATCATTGGAAAGACAGCTAATCCTTCCCAGACCCAACCACTACATATACCACATTGAAATGTCGTGGCTGACTAAGCCCATTACAAATTTAAAGCCTCACTTTAAGAAAACAAAGAGGTAAGACTGCATGGATAATTCTGAAGTGCTTTATAAATGATGTTGAAATAGTAAATCCATTTTACGGATGAAGTACAGATGTTAGCTAAGTAGTATGTGGACATTCAAAGACATCTTTTGTACGAGTGCTGGGAATTGAAATCAAGTCATCTAAGCTGGAAGGTTTTTGCCCAGCTGCAATATCATCATTTTACAAGATCCCTTCTTCTTGACTACTCACCTCTTGTGCAAATGACTCTGCTTTCTTCCGCAGGTTCTTCTCCAGTTCAAAGTTTTCATGAAGCTCTTCATATTCCTCTACTGCCAGCACAGACACTGTTTATAAGAATAAAACAAGATCAGAAGTAAAAGTGTAATGGATCAAAATAAGATGAAAGTACTGCTTGATTTACCCAGATAAACTGTTATTTCCCAGCACCATGAATCCCTGAATGAAGGTATAACTTAGTTTTACATTTCCATATAACAATCCTTTGAAATATTTGTCCTGTTTGCTCTAAACCTCACTATACACAGATGCACAGTTACTGATCTTCTGAATAGAGTAACACTCCTCCCGCCCAGACTCAAAACTCGAGTAACACATGTAGCACAGACCATATGTCACCTCTTTGGGTGCAAGCAATCAAAGCCTCAAAAGAGCCTTGCTGAACCTATCAAAGATTACTATGTTATTTTGGAGGCATCTGTATTTGCCAGACTGGTTTGAGGAAGGTTTGATAGGTCTCTTTACAACAGAGATTTAAAGGAGCCTCAGGAAGAAAGCAGTGCAACTTTGTGTTGTCTGCATTTAAACTGTGCTCACAAAAGCACAGTGGCTAAGGCTAACCATGGCACATGCTTCCCCAAACTATTCTGAACAGACCTCAGTCCAGGACCAAGCATCATTTGTAAGTATTCACGTATCACTTATGCTTAACATGTCTCAGTGATCACTTGCAGAAGCTTTAGCTCTTACTGGCTGAAGACTAGTTTGCAGGATGATGACACTGGATTTCTAACACTGTCCTACACAAGTTCCTTGCTTCTTTGGAGATGAGCATAACAGTTTTTAAAGCTACGTACAGTAAGTGGTAACTCTGAGCATGGGATACACGCCCCAGACCACCTGACTCTTAAAATGATGTTAATTTAAAAAACTAAAACACAGAATCAAAAAAACCCACCCAAACAACCCACACACTTAGAAAGATTCAAGATAAATTCACCAACTTTGACTGAAATGTATTGATGACAGGTCCAAGACAGTGCTGCACAGACACAGAATACAGTAGGTATTCAATAGATACTTTGGTAGCTCATTTTAAGCATACACAAAAATCTTGCTTTATGTTGCCTGTGCATTAGGACCTAACCTGGTATAACTCCTCCTTCCTGGAAAACAGGCAAACATGAAGCAAGGGATTGTTGTTTTTTCAGATTGTGCTTAGAAAAAATAAAACATTTCAGAAACATCTGATCTGCTACACTAGCCCACCAAAAAAGCATCTTCAAGATGGTCTGTCTAATCAACCTGTCCAAAGTTTGGTGCTTTAAGAGTCTTCAAGTACTGCCTGTCATAGACTCAAGCAATGCAGACACATGAAAGAGGTTAAAAGATGAACACTTGGCAGAAGCTTACAGAGTACATTGTACAATGCAAACCTCCTCTCCCTATGCTGAGAGACAGCTGCAACATTCATAGAAGACCCTGTCCCATTGGACAGCAAAGGTAAAAGAGAAAATAATTTCCCACTCACTAAATGTTCATACATGTCTCTGTAATTCAAAACTCGGCTGCTTCATCGAAAACATGGACTATGCTGATTTTGTATACTTTTTCCAAAGAAAAAGAGAATACTATTGGCACGGCATATATGGCAGAAGGCCATGGCATGATTGAAGTCTTCACTGCTCCAAAGATCAGATTTTTCCTCTGTATTTTATTCCTGTTTGGCTAAAGCTACTTCCACAGGTCCTTCCATGTGAAAGCAGTAACCCTGGCCATTCCCTCCACTGCCTAACAAATTTTTCAGAAATCCTGGGAGATGTCTTAAGAGCTTTTTATTTTTCCTCCCTAGGGAAGCAAGTCAAATACAACTGCAGAGGAACAACTTGAAGATAAATCAGAATAACTGCAAATGCAGCTGAAGACCTCCACGATGTATTGCTAAGGTGCTGTCGAACCCATAAGTGAGTGCTTTTGGAAAGTAATGCATCAAGACAGGCAGACATTAGAGGCCAGACCCACTGTCTTCCACTCCAGGAAAATGCAAAACAGCCAAGGAGACTTAACCAAACAATTTTTAATTTTACAAGGCTAAATCAGCAACAAGATAAAAGGGCACAGCAATCCGAGGCTCTAAAATCTTTACCCTCCCCTCAGAACTACTTTTGGGTCACCTATTTCTCATGTGGAAGCACTCACCTTCATTAAGCAAAAGCTTTCCTTTTCTGGGCCCTGCCCCTCTTTTTAGACTTTCCCTGCCCTGGTTATACCTCTCATCTCTTTCCAGGAATGGAAAGTCCCTGCTTTCCTTCTATAACTTGGAAATCCTATTTATCTCATTCCCAGCACTCTTGCCTTTTTCTCATCGTCCTCTGAACATACAAGTTGCTCCCAAGTCTTTAGATATTTAAAATTATTAGCTGTGTCCCAACAAAAAGGAAGGCAATGTAATTATTCAGGAAAACAGCGAAGGGCTGCCTTCCTCTCCTAGCTTGCCACTTGGGCCACAGAGCAAGAAGTTTTCCTACTCTAACATTCAACCTGCTATTTACACTGTCACATTTTCCTGCAGTAGAGAGTCTAGAATAGTCCATGTGTTCATGCAGTGCCTGCAGCAACAAGGCCAAGTGTTAGCTCTGGACCACAGTCACTGTTCTGTAACCTCCTCTTTGTACTACAACATAAAAGCTCTGAGGCTTCTGCAAAGGATGTAGCAAACTGTTAGAGAAACTGCTGAGACCACACACCTCTGTTACATTTCTCCAACAGTTTTTGCTGCTTATTAACTTCCGTTGTCAAAACAGCCTTTTCTTCTTTCACTTTATTCACCTAGAAAAGTGTAAAGATCAAAAATAAGAGTATTTTAGTTAGTGGCATAAGGCATACAGCAAGACATAATGTGAACAATATTTTGCTTTCAGTAATTTTGTTTCTTAGGTTTGGCTTGATCTTTGGGTTTCCTGTGGGATGGAAAGCATTTTTACCCCAACTTAGAGACCCCATAACAGACAGCATTAAAGGGTTATGAACTAATCCTTCACATGGGGCTCCCATGGCCCATTCTCATGGCATGTACCAGTAACAGCTGCAAATGTAACATCTTTGGAACCTTTCAGGATGAGGCGCCTTAGCACCTGGTTGAAAAGTTACTAGCTTGCCCTTGACTGTTTGTGTTTTAATATAGTCAGGCTGCTGTTTTGCTTTTTTTCCTGGGCTCTGTTTATTGTCCAAGAGCTGTCAGCTGTGTCTTTCTGAATGCAAGTGCTGCATAGACAGGAAGAGCCACTAAGTCCTGATTTGCATCAGTACATGGCTTATCCAGTTTTCAAGCAGGAACGAAACTTGGCTGGCTCAAAAAGCCAATTTGCTGGTCTAATTACCAGCCAATGGCTAAACTCAAGGATATGCTCAATGAAGTAGCACCAGTGATTAAACTGGACATTCTCCAGAAGTATTTCTTGCACATCCACAGGTTTAAGGGAATTAAAAAAAAAAACAAAAACAACCAAAACCCACAGTCTGTGATGGGTGAGGGGCTCTCAGGAGGTGGAGATGAGAGTTACAGCATGAGCATTAGAACAGATCATGAAAGGTCACGTGCCAGCAACAGCAGCAGACTGGACTCTGACGTAGAAGGCCCCTTCTAGGCATATGCCCTAAGTGCTCCATCATATGGGCAGGCTGGCAGGACTTGCGATTAGACAGTATTCAATTAACTTCACAACTGAGTGTTTTTAGCAAAATGAGATACAAAAAGTACAGACTACACGCTAACGTGGTCTCGCCTTCCACGGTACAATACATACTTCTTCAATTACTTCTACAAGTTTGCACCTCAGGTTTTCCAGTTCAATGGCTAAGGTCTTCTTTTCCTCATGAACAGATATGATTTGATCTCGCAGCTCTACAGTTTGAGAAAGGAAATGAAAAATATATTTTATCCTTGGAAGAAAACAACAAAGGAAATGCCATAGCAATGCAAGTACAATCTAGTAGGAAACACCTTAACTGCATACAAAGCATCAGCTGTATTCAAGGTACATCCTCAATAATTTAGCAACTTTGCATAAGTGTCAAGTAACAGATCTATAACTGGGCCACAGTTTCAGATTTACTCTATTGAGATAAGTTGCCTTGTTCAGTACTGCTGTCTTTATTTGCATTCTGAATGATTAATTTCCTGCTATAATGGGGCCAATCCTGCCACCACAGAGTATCCTCAGTGGTACTCAGGAGACCAACACGTCCCAGACACTCTGGAATGGAGGTAGCAGAAACCAATTTTTAATTGGCCTCCTTTAAAACAAATTAATGCACTTCAATTCTTTTTGGACCATGAGTTCTTGTCACAAGGGAAATACACAAAACAACAGGCAGTTAATACTTGGGAGGTTTTCACTGAAGAAAAGGTCCTGAACAGCTGCCAATTTATAGTCTTTGTAGCATTATGTGAACAGAGTCAGAATATAACCTTTACTGACAGAAGAGCTAATGCTTGTAATTTTCCCCTCAGAATTTTTGTTCCTTAATTATCAAAATATGAAGTAAATTAAATTCACAATGGTATAAAACATTTGATTATTATAACTTCTTAGCAGGAGATGAGTTTGCATACATAATATATCAAGGTTTAGGTTAACATAAAAACACCACAAAAATATAAATTTATTGGTATATATTAGCTTTCAGTAAGTGCTCTCATTCCCCACCTGCTTCCAGTATTTCATAGCACTGCTGTTCGTTGAATACCAGCCACGAGTTGAGAAAATTGTTGTTAATCAATTACAGATGATGATGGCATGCTGGATGTCATTCTGTTCGGTCTCACATCTTGAAAATGTTGATGCTAGCCCCTTCCCCCCCAATTCAAGAGCCTCAGATTTATTTTCCTACAAATTAAAGGCACACACATTCTAAAGTAAAAAAAAAAAATTGTTTTCCCATAAGATTCTTGAACCAAATCGTCTGTTTTATGGATTTGTGCTTTCCAGTGAAATTACTGGAAAAAAAAATCTCTCTGAAATTTATGGTAATTGGATTAAGTCATATCTTACAATACATATATCAATCTCATACAGAGAAGAAGGTATATCCATATAACAAAATCTTTATAAACGTGTACAATAATTTTTTATTTTCAGATAGAGGGTATGCACTAAACTTGACCAACACAGCTGAGTTTTCAGTTCCTGTTATATCCAAAAGGTCAGCTAAAAAGAAAAAGAAAACCTGAAATCTATAAATGAATTTCAGGTACTGCTCTGAGACAACTCCACTCTTCCATTTGGAACTTCAGCTTTACTAACTATCACTACAGCAAAAACAGAGGAAGGTCTGAGGAACAAATTTTTATCCTTTTAATAAATGAGAGGGCTTCAATCAAAGAGCCTCAGACTGTACTACCTTATTTGTATATCCTTACAGAAAAATGGTGGGAGGGAAGGAATCATTCCAAGGAGCATCCAATACTTTGCTGAATGGTGAGGAGGCTAAAAGACTTCCAAGGTTCCCAACATGAAACACAACTGCTTGGAATCAAACGTGCATAGAAAGGCAGATTTCACCTTGGGAAACACCACAAAGCATTAAGGGGAGTTTTGAAAACACATCTTTCATCACATATGGACTTTCACTTAGCAGGTAATCCATAATGTAACTTCAGATTTTTCCCTAAAGACAAACGCCATGCAGCTTGGCTTAGGCTAGGAACACAGCCCTAACACTGCCTTTCTGTACACGTTGTCAGATCACTCTGCTACCATACACACACATGCTTCCCTTCAGGTGCACGGATGGAACAACTTCTCCTATAGCAAATGGGATTCCAATGCTGTTAAAAATACTCAGCACTTGTAAAAGCAAGGTCATTAACATTTAATAATAAGGCCAAAGAAGGAGCAGAAGCCAGGAGTTCTAAATCCTTTACAACATGCCACATTTCATACTTCAATGAATTCTCCATCAAGACATAAAGCACATACATCAGAGCTCTTCTTGAAATATTTCTCTCATTTGACCCTGCTACCCTCCTAACCACATTCTCTGATCTGCAGCCAGAGTCTTTGCTCTCTTTAAATGTATCCTTGACATCTTTCTCCAATAAAAGACAGCAGGCTTATTTCCAATTCAGATGGGTTGCATGGTGTAGATCACACTGTTCCTCTTATCCTACATCTATAGGATCAAAAACTGCTTATTATAGAAAGGTACTATGACAACTTATTTCTTGGTGGGATTTTTAAAAGCATTTTTACACGACTTGTTCTTTTTTCTCAGTGATACTTTGTACCACTTCATTGCGGCTGCTGCATTCAAACGGAAAACAAGGTCAGGATGAAAGTTCGGGAAAGCTGTACTCAGACAACATTTGCTATTATAACTTACTATCAGAAAAAAGTGAAAGTTTTTTTAAAAAGTGAACCAGTTAATTTCTCTCTCTGTCACTAAAAGCAGAATGTGGGCCTTCCCCTTTTTTGGATACTATGATATAACAACATATAGAATCACAATGACTTCATCACAGAGTTAGACAAGAAAGGAAGGCAGATTTTGGATTACAGAAATACAAATTGCCTTTCAAAAATGAACCAGAAATTTATTAATAAATCACAGATTTCTCTTATCAATGAATTTCCATGTTCCCAAGCTTTGCTGTTTTACCCAGTACAACAGTCCCTTTCTAAGCTGCTTATTTGGTAATAGCTCTGGAATATGAATGCAGTTTGTGTGTACAAAAGTACATAACATCAATAGAAATGGAGAGTCCTGTCTTACAAGCTTTGAAATAGTGACATTGCAAATGAAGCAATACCAAGGTGACCTTGTCCTTTCTGCTTAATTTTTACTTTGTTAAGGATCTGAGGAAATACTTCTTTTACCGACTCAATAACACTGAACTCTCTTAGTTCTCTACTGTGTAGATCTCATTTTCCTGTTGTATTGTAACTTACTTTGCAGGCTGTATATCCACCATATGCATCACACAGTATCACTACAAGCCTACCATGTCCTCACAGTTTTTCCTGGAAATCCTTTGATGAGCACTCACAGGAGCATGACTCAGAGTCAGACGGATCTCTGGTCCAAACCAATACCGCCATTCTTTAGTCAGCTTTTGCCTTCTGTGGTGGTGTAGGCTCAGCAACAACGCTCACCTTTTATTTGCTGCTGACAATGCACAGAATTGCATGATCCAGAGTTAGCTTCTGTATCTGTGGATGAATCGTCCTCATCAATGTTAATCTCTTCAGTGATAATTTCTGGGCCCAGTTTTGCCATGTAAAGCATACTAATTCTTTTCAAGGTCTTATTTTCTTTGTTCAGCTGAAAGTTGAGAAGCAAAAACAGTAAGAAGCTAGTTAGTCTCTCTTTAAGCTGCTGTGCAAGAGAAAAAGTCAACAATTTTTTTCTCCCTTATCATTAAAAGACCTATAAAACAAAGAAGACGAAGAAACATTAAATGCTCCATTCAACATTAAATGGGTCTGAAGGTGGGAAGCTTGTCCTCTTTCTCCTCTGAGGAGGCTTGAATTCAATGTGATGCTTCACCCATGCCCTTCTTTCCTCTCTGGTATTTCTGACTAAGAAATACCCTGTGTAGGTTCAAATCAAGTCAAATCAAATCAACTATCAAGCTTACTTAATGCTACACATTCTTTGTGATAGCTGCTTCAGCTCCTTACCCTTAAGCATGTACCAGCATCAACAGGAGCCCTAACTGAATGACCTGAGGAAGGGCCTGTGTTCCTGAAAGCTCATCTGGTTTTGCCAGTTTTATCAACTGGTCAAATAAAAACTCTTACCTCCTCCTATGCCCTTCTTTTTGCTTATAAACTATAAAAACCACAACTAGTATATTCCCAGCCATGGCAGAATTACCTCAAAATTCTTTTGAATTCTTTTCAATTCTCAGCAATTATTACTATAGAGTCAATATACCCAAGATGAAAGCCGTATCATAAACCAATTCTTAACGGGTTAAACCACAAGTCAGAATGCTTAAACACATGCCTGGTTGGTGGATGATATAGAAGAGGTTCTACAAGGCATCTCCATCTTGACCAAGGTGCCAAGAAAAACTGAACAACAGAGATTGCTGCAAATGTTTCACTCTCATCATTTCTTTCACTGTTCTGCATCTAGACACGCCATGCCAGCAGCTCTCAGTAAGCTCTGCACAGTCTCAGGGGTGTTCTGGCATATTTGGGGTGACTGCCCACCCACCAGCCAAGCATTCCCTGCATTCAGGTCTAAGCATGAGGCTCAGTTTCCTACTAATGACATACATGTTGAAGACAATATGCACTTCACAAGTCCAATATTTACCTTGAAATAAAACGTACTCTGAAGTTAGGCTGACCTTGATGATTTACCTAGGCAATTATCTTTTATCCCCCCTTTCCTCTGCCCCCTAACTATGGGAGATTTACTTAAGAACTTCTATATCTCATTCCCAAAGAATGAGACTGAGAAAGTGGGAACGGTGGTGTAAAGAACCTTATACACTCAGCCCACAGCAACAAACAAGTCAGCTTTGGCAAAGCAGCCCCATGGGGTAAAGCTAGTCTTTGAACTGCCCCTGTACATGCATTACAGGAAAAGTGCAAAGAAGAAGAAAAGTTGCATAAATATGTTCATTTTCTTACTTATATGCTGATTGTCTATCTTATGAATTCTAATATAGTGTCATTATGCAAACAATTAAGTAAATACCTCCAGAAAGTACATTGCTAATGCATCTAAATTAAAGTGATTTCTTGCTGGTGTGATTTTTACCATATCTAAGGATGTACTTTGGGCAGGGGATGGGGGGGGGAAGAAAAAAAAGGCAGTCAGCATTGCTAATGAAATTTGGTTCAAAATTGCTGTAATCCATTTTCTGATGAAGTGGCTCAGATGCATTTTACACAACCAAAAATATATAACAGAGAGATAAAAACATTCTTTAATAATGCACTTCTGATGAGATGGAATATAGAAAATTACACACTTGCTAAATTCATCAGACTAGACGCAATCAACAGAGCAGGGGAGGTCACCTTTCCCCTGCCCTCGCTTTGCTTTCATAAACAATCACCTGAAATGTAATGCAGTGGTTGACTTTTTCCATTTGATTTAGATGCTGAAACGCTCATTATTGTTTTATATCTCACACAGGACCGTTCTAAGACTTGTTTCCCATTTAACCTAAACGCATATAAAAATGAGATATCAAGGTGCTCACCCATGAATTACTGTTCCAAAATAGAAACTAAATTAAAACAGGTATTTTTTTTCTTTAAAGGAAGGAATTGTATTTTACATCTCACATATGGCTTATAGTTTTTGCCACTTCAAAACAATTTCACAGATCCACAAGATTATACAAAAACATGTATGGGACATGTATACAATCTCAGGTTAAAAAAATTATAATAAAAAAATCGGATTAAACAGAATCACCATAATTATTCTCACCTTAGAAGCCAAAGCCTCAGCACTTTCACGGCACGTCTTCTCAATTTCAAGATGGTTCTGAATACAGTTTACTTCCTCAATAACCATGTGAGAAACTAGCGGAAGAATTTAAAAATTAGTCAGTATTTTCCTGCATTTGACACATGCGTTTGACACATGCATCCCATGATCAGAAATACACCTTTTTCTGTTGACTTTCTATGTAAGCATTTCAAATACAGGGAAGCATATACTTAGATAATCTCCATGGATATGAATTGTTTTGAGTATTGAATATCTGGTTCAATGCTTTAAGCAACTCTCTCTGTAGCATTAGAGGGGGAACTGGAGAACTGAGCATAAACTTAGGGCCAGCGGAAGCCTCCTTGACCATCATCATTCATCCCCTTTATTTCATTAACACTTGAGGAATCAGAACCAGACCACTAGGACTGTCCCTCCAGATTGCCATCATAATCCTCTTGAAAATTTTGTATGGACAGAGTTTTCAGAAGATTGGAACCTTGATATTTTTAAACAGCAAGATTAACTCGGGTGTCTTCCAAAGATTATTTTCACCTTCCAGTCTTCAGGTTTCCATGGTATTTTAAGTAGCATCACACTTGCTAAACACACTGTACAAGAAGAGCTGCAAGATGGACATACAGTACAAGCCTGGGGCAAGTTTACTAGGAAATGGAGAAAGGAGTTAAGTGACCAAAGCCTCCACATTTGTAGTGCCTCCTACAGCATATACTCCCCTGAAGTCAAATCATTAGCACAGCACAGTTCCCCCTTCTGCCCCTTCAGCTTCAATGCCAGCTGCAGCTGCAGGGATACACCCCGATGGATGCAATCCTGATGGAAGTTCAACATTGCTTGCACTGCCCGATTATTGAGAACCTCAGCTGAACAACCCAAGTTCTGTATTACTACATGGCTGTAACATCCAAACTGTTTCTTATTTGAAGTCCTTCTGTGCTTGAACATGCCCTAAAATAAGCACTGTGGTCTCACACCCTGCCTTCACAGTCCTGCAGAGTCAGACACCAGCACACACACATGGACACATACAATCTTCCTGAGACCAGGGCTGAGAGTGAGCTGCCCGACTGCATCCGAAATACACGACTGTGTTCCTGTATTTGATGCCACAGCTGGAAAAGGAAGAGACACATCTGTCCTTTGCACTTACAGGATCCCCACTATCGAAGTGGGTACATATCACTATATTAAAGACACACTATATTCCTAGAGTGACCAAAAAGTTAGGGAACAAATCCCTATTTTGCAACATAGGATACCAAAGTGAGTTAGAGGTCATTTAAAAGCACAGATGTGTTTTGGCTCACAATTCCTCTCAACTTCCAGCAGTACAGAGGTACTTAACTAGTGCTGAAAGTCATCTTCTAAGTGACAAGCTTCAAGTTGCACAGAGGATCTGGAGCAAAGCAGGAAACCCAATAATAGTTTCTCATTTCTCAGGCTAGAACCTTTCTTTCTTTGCAACTCCTCCTTGGCTCCTAGCACCCTGATTCATCCTAAGCAGCAGCCTGGACCCTAATTCTGCAAGTAATTTCATTGCGCAAATTCCTTTTCAGCCCAGTGTCAGGATTTCAATGTACAGAAAGCACTGTTGGCAGCTGAACAATACTATAGAGCAGGAACAAGACTGAAAGAACATAGTGTAAATATGGAGGACTTTTTCTAGTATCTCCTTTTGTTTTCATGAAGATAAGCTTTAAAAACTAGTGATTTCATGCCACTGGGTAGAAAGTCCTGCTCGCCCTTTTCTAAGACTTTTGCCTAAATACTGAAGAGAGATACTTAAGTCCTCTTTGATATCCAGAGGTCATTTTAGTGACTATAAAACAGGACTTTAGATAGGAAAAAGCCGACTGTCAATAAGTGTTATTTATGCAGCTTTATTGATACGTAGTCAATATCAATGAATGTTTTGTTAATAACATAGGAAACCAGTAATACAAGAAACAAGTTTTACAAAATATGAGCAGCCCCAAAAAAAAAAACAACAAATAAAACAAACAAACAAACAAACAAACAAACAAACAAAAAAACAGGGCAGAGCACTGGGAAATCTGGTCCAAAAGCTATATTCACATGAAGTCTTTTAACAGCAGAGCCATCACACTTTTTATTTCCATTTTTTCTGACTTTGGAGAAATTACCTGCTCCAAGCATGCCGTACCAGCTGCTACATTTAATTTGAGAGAGGAAAAGCTTCAGGTAGGACATGTCCATATGTTTTCTGTTTTTATGCTACCTAGCCCTGGGAATTTGGAGCAATGAAATGCTTTGGACAGGATGAGGGAGCAGTGGAGATACAGAGCTGCTCCCATTTTACAGACAGGAATCTAATGGCCTCAAGCAAAGCTAAAGTTAGGAAATAAGGATTGGGTTCACGTGGCAGAACTAGGGATTACTCTTGGTTCATTTAAACTTAATTAACCTGCAATTATGATTAACTCAGGGGAAAAAAATCTTTCCAAATTAAATACAAAAATATATTATTTCCTAAGTCTGTCCAAAGTTCTTATTATGTCAATATTAAAATTCATAAAGCAGCACTAAGTGGCCTGAAACATCTCTAACCTTGACAGTTTTTTTCAGGGGTAATAATAATCCGCAGCAAATGCAGGCCAACCAAAAACCACTTAACTAATTAGTAGTTGCAGTCACCGAGAAAACATGAATCAACACTGTTATTACAAGTGGCACATTTGAGTGGCATCTAATTATGACTTGATGAGCACGATACTTGCATTATCAACATTACTACTGCATCCCATCAGGGACTAAAAGCCGCTGATGGCACTGACTGCGAGAAACTCCCACTCAATGGTACCGCAGCACCCAACAATCTCCTTGGCAGGGGCACCCTCACTAAATGACATGTTAAGCGTAATTACTGGTAGACATTGTAAATAAACAGGATTGGAAGTGAAAATTGTACCAAGTGCATAAGACACAATCTGACACATTGGAAGTGGCAGCCTTAATTGAGAGTTTCTTTGACTGCTCAAGATCATTTCAACTGCATTTCTCGGAGGACAGTGATTATAACTGTGGAGACAGACGGCATAATGGTATCAGCACTGCTGACAGAGCAGTGAATTAAATTGTATCTGCTGTTGTGTGAAAGCCTTGATGAGAGGTACAGATCCTTAGTGGTCTTATCATTATAACACAATGGTCATGTTGTCATCAACCTTGCTGGCTCCAATTGAAAAGAAATGATTGTGTGTTGAAGCTTTCCCCCCCACCACCACCTTCTATCTCTTGTGCTCAATAGAACCAATTTTCAGAGAGCTATGAAATCACGCAATAGGGCCTAAAATGCAGCTGCTTGGCATACAAACGGGGCCCCATTAAACTGGAATCACACACAATATGTGTTTATGCCAGGAGAACAAATAGAAGCTGAGTACAGGCCAAGTTTATTCACAGACACAAAGCCGATGTAGCTCTTCATCAATATAATTGCCTTTTATATTGTCGTTTAAATAATGGGCTCTATTATTGCCTTAAAATCCTAATATTCCTGGCATTTTATCACTATGTTTACAAGGTATGTCCTTTAAAAATGTGAAAGGAAGATAAAAGAAACCTATAAAATTTTACAACATCAAATATTACTTCAAATTTTAAGTCTTAACTACTTGACATTTTCTGCCACACTCTGGTATTCCTTGTATCATAACAAAAACAAAACAGGCTGCAATTCTTTCCAGAGGAATTAGACTTCTTAGAGAACATTCTTGCCTCACAGTACAGTTATCCAAGATCATTTAAGGCAGTAGATAATTCCTGTTGATTTTGTATTATTTTCCATAATTGTATCATATGAACAATTATAAAACAGAAGTGAGCAAATTCCTCTATTAACACAGTCACACAAAAGTACAGACCATGTGATTTCCTTCTCCTGCATTAACTTCATCCACATTTCTGATGCTTCACGGTGCAGTTCACCATAGTGGCACAAACCAGACATAACAGACCACAGTCCTATTGTAATCGTCTCTTCTAAGGAGCTATTCCACTAGGATACTTCCACTGCCATTAGATGTGCTTTGTTGCTTCCAGATGCCATAAAGTTTCAATAGGAGCATCACCACAAAAGTGTAAAACTGAATATTGACATTCTCACAGCTCAGACAAGACACAACTTGCTCTAAAAATTATCAAGAGACAGCAGTTCATCCTAAAAACCTTTACTGGTGTGTCTATGCTTAAAGTAATTTTACCTTTTCTTCACAAAAAAATTACCATCATCATCATTATTATTAGCAATCTTAGCAATAGGGTTAAATCCCACTCAGTCCAAGCATACATCATTCTAAAAGTCACTTGCAGAATCCAGGTGAGATAAAGCCACTTTTGTACCACTGTATTTTCACTACTTTGCACCTTAAGAATGGCTACCTGTGTCAGAGTGTATAAAAGCTGTGACAGCAGTTAGTCTGACAACTAACTCCTTAAAACAAGGCTTTGAAGGAGAAACAGCAAGTGGAACTAATCTCAGCATTCTTAACACTGCTGTAGAGTAAGCACAGTGATGTTCATAACTCTCTCTACCAAAAAATTCCTACTAATGTTATCAACTTACTTTTCTGAAACTCCTCCAGTTTTTTGACCGCCTCATCTCGTTCTTGCTTGATTTTGTCACACTGTAGCAGAAGAGAAAACTGTAATGAAACACTGATCCCAGCTATTTAATTAGCAGTCAGTCACAACATGCAAAATCAACAAAGATCAACTGCCAGCACAGTAATGTACAGAAGCTTATCAAAGCATCATTTCTTTTTCATCTCAGCCATGTAAAATTGATGGAAGCTATGCATAAAAAATTCATTACCCAGAGTATTTCCTAACCAAACTGTCAAGTTGCACTTGATTTTAGGTTCCAATCCAGAGCTGCTCTGAAAATATTTCAGAAGAGCCACATTATCCAAAACAGATATAAATGGTCATCCATGTTCCACACAACAGTAAAATCAATACTTTGCATGTCAGGAATACGCTTTAAGTCTAGTTTCTTTAACATAAATAGACCTGGAAGAGAGGCCTACATTTTTGTACCTACCATGCCCAAGGAAAACCTCAAAGCCAATAAACAGGGCCACGCTGTTCAGTTTCATCACATCATGAGCAAAGTTTCAGCCTTAAAGAGGGGAGGACACTCATTTTCATACTTTGAGGATTTCTCATCACTCTTATTTTATTAATTTTGGGGTTGATGCTAATACTACACAGGGCTGCAATCACTGATCTTACGAGGGAAAGGTTTCTTCAAAGTGATAGAGAAAAACAGATGTCAAACAGACTTCTCTAAGAAAAGTCCTCCCATAAGCAAATGAAAGAACTCAAAGAAATTAGTAAATTTCACAAAAGACACAGTCAGTGATTAACCACCCTGTGAAAAACACATGACCCAGAGGGAAGTATGACTGGCACCCAACGTGTCTCACACACACAGTGTACCAGACATCCTTCCTCACATGCGGCTGTGTATGTTCACAGTAATAAATCTACGTAAAACCATTAGTTAACTTCTGGAAGAGATCTGTATGACTCAGTGCCTTATCGTGTAACTGCAATTATAAGGACACCGGTCACTGGAACAGAACTGGGAAAAAAAAAGACTGAAATTACTTTTCTCGATTTTCAGTTTTTCCACACGAGGACCCACTTTGAGTTAGCTAGGAGAGGAGCCTGCTGTTAAGTAACAAGAAGGCAGAAAGCCCAATTCAAAGGCACCCAAATCCAAGAAAGCCCTTCTATCAGCTCCGGAAGACTTTGGATGAGGCCCAAAGAAGGATCTGCTCTTGGGTGAGGAGAGGATGCCATCGGTGTTGCCTCACGGGCAGTCTCCACAAAGGGGTTGGAAGCCGCTGCTGCTGGCTATCTGCGTGAGCAAAAGGAGCTGCACTCAACAGCAATCTCTCTTCTCATGGCCCTGGGTGATGAGACAACAGACAGCAGCTGAGTAGGGGGAACCAGCTGCTATAAAGTCTGCGAAACAAAGAAGAGCTGCAGGAACAAGAAGTGCTGAGCAACCCGTGCTGGACAAGGACTCACCATTTCATCTGGCCCTGTTATCAAAGAAGCTGTTTAGAAAATCCTGCACAGGAGAGGTGGGGAAGGAAATCTGTGCATGAGTCTTGCTGCTTGCTGCCCTCCCTCTCAACTTCCTCAGCAAAAATTTGCCTTACCTTACCAGTAGAAGTGCAGTCTAATAACAGAAGGCAGTAAAAGACGCAGAAAGAAAGTATTTCTGATTGTTCCTGCAGAGCACAGCGCTGCTGCAAAAGGGGATCAGTGTGAGCTGCTGCCTCTTCGTACTTTACAAGAGAGACACTGTAACCACACTGGGACACTTCACCCACGGATTTTTCTGCACGCTACAAGCTTTCAGCCCACTGCACATGAAGTGAGCAAGCGCTTTCAATGCTCAGTTTAAAAACCAGAAAGATTAGCGTTTTAAGGATCTGATCTGCTGCCTGGGAAGTCAAAAAGACACTTTCCTACTGACGGAAACCTTGATTTAGAGGATGCGGTACACTCCCTATCCCAATGATAGCAAAAACTCCTTTTGAAATCCTCCAGCAACATGCTGTAAGGCATAACAGCTTTCCCTGTGCAGCGAAAGGGGAAGTTAAATGACTTATTCCACTTCACATTGAGTGCTATTTGCAGAGAGAGCTCCATTTGGACCACGGCAAGCTGACTATTCTCCTGACAGCTACGTGCTTTTCTCTGCACAATCAGGGTCTGCAGGTTTGGGTCTCTGCAGAGCAATTCCTGCTCCCAGTTGCAGCTTTCTGAATATTTTCCAATTGCTGCTACTGTGCTTCAGAATGAAAGAGCAGTACGAAAAGGAGAGCAGGAGATTGTTGCCCTTGCTGGAATGATCAATGGGAAGCACTTTGCCTTTTGTCTTCCCATCAGACCTGTGCAAGCAGAGCTGTCACAAGTTCTACCAAAATAACCTGGTTTATCTCCAAGTTAGCTAAAAATTAGAAAAAGTTGATATTGTCTTTTACTACTGGTACTGTTTCAAACTGGAAAGTTATGCAAACAAAATACTCCTATAAAGTAATTGAGTTTCATAATAAAACACATTGTCACCCCTTAAAATAAATTGACCCTATCTTTAAAACAGGAAGGTTTAAAAATATTAAATTTACAAGTGTTAGCTACCCTTAAAAAGCTGCACAAAAGCTTCAAAATTCACAACCACCTCACTTTTAAAAAAAATATATTTGAGGCATATAAAGTAGAATTGTTAATTGACAAGAATATCACTAATCCTAAATGTTAAATGGCAAATAGCAGAACATTACTATAAAATCTATTTTTCACTTTTCACATTCAAGCACATGCAACTGTTGAAGAGAAACAGCTTTTAAGTATTTATAAGTCTCCCCTTGTCAGTATTAACAGACAGCTCTATACTCAAAAAAAAAAGTCTACAACTCCTGGATTGTCAGACATTTTTCTGGTTTGAACTTTATTTGGTTAAGAGCTACAGCTTCTCTACAGACGAAAATAAGCATTTATACCATTTTATTTACTGTATTTTTAATCTAATATTTTGAGAACCATGATCCCAATAAAAAAACCTAAGGTAACAGACAACATTCTCATTCCAGGATTCAATGACATTGCATCTGTATTTTTAAAAATAAATTAACAGTTCAGTTTCCAAAATTCATTCTGTGAATAGCTCCTTACAATTCTTTATCTTTGCAGGAGCAAGTTCAGGAGCTTTGCCAATCCCACTCAGTTTCAGATTTTTGCCTTCTAGGTACAGAAGATATGAGTCAATTTCTAGCACGGAGAACTGATACGTTGACTACTTACTAGTAAATCACATACACGTCAAAGATTGGCATTCAAACCAAATACCGCATATACAGCGAGGTGCATAGCAGTACATGAGCTTGGCCTGTACTTGGAGCTAGCACAATACCAGGTTAGTACCACGCCATCACGGGAACCTGGCACTACGTCATGTTGGGAAGTCGATGCACACACGCACCTGGAAGCCTGTGGATACACACGTCTCCACACACCTGCTCCCATCAGCCTAATGACTCTTTGACAATAATTCCAGGGAGGCCTGGGTTTCTTGTCTATTCTCTTCCAACAGGCTTCTTTTTTTTGCCAACTATTTTGTACATAAGCTCCTACTGACTTCAGTAAAGGGCCTTCAAAGGGCAAAAACAAGGAGGAGATTGTTCAGCCCTGATATTAAGATGCAAGAAGTTCACGTAGTAGCCATATAGTCAGTTAAGCCATCGCTAAGCAACACAAGATACATTCTTTCCCATTTATACAGATTGTGAAATTTATGCAGATTTAATGCTTGCTCTAAAATTATGAGTTTGGTACAGTGCTCAGAAGTATCCTATGACATTTGCTATACTCTACTTACAGAAAGAATGAGTGTGTCAGCAAGGCAGAATCCCTTCTCCATTCCCATTTGGTGACAAAACATATAATCCTCTCTAAACATGTGCTTTAGCAGAGCAAACACTATGAATGATGTATCAGAGATACAGTATTACAACTACTGTTTTGGAAAGCTGTCTTGCATTTTTTTCCCCCCCCTACTGGCAGCATGACAAAACACTGTCAAAACCAGTGCTCAGAGTAATTTCTGTCTGATTAGCAAGTAGTCAAATATTTATTCATGAACTAACTTCGAATATGTCAGAACTGCATATTAAATTATCTAAATTTGTGTGCAACTGAACATTAGTTGTGTTTTTTGGGGGACTGGTATACACATTTAGTTGGCTACTTCAATTAAAAGGATGACCTAAGAGAAGTAATCTGACGATGTAATTTTTGCTCCAGTTTTGAAGGCATTTAAAAGTACTAATAAAAAATATGCCTGCACCAATTTTGTCAGAGATCCCACCAGAGGTCTCCAAATTGGCACTTCAGCAAGGCAATGAGGAAGAGATCCTCTGGGGATCAAAGATCTTATATCTTGCCCCTGAATTTTCATAGTTATTAGCATCCTTTTAAGCAGCAGTGCTTTGAACAAAGTAACCTATGTAAGGGTCAACTTACCTTCTAATTTTAAGAAAAAATATGGAACAAAGAGCATAAATTTTCAAAAATCAAAATTACATCTTAAAGTTAGCTGCCTGTTATGCACCAATTTCCATGTTTCTAATATGAGCGTGAAGGGTGAGTGTCAGGAGGAGGGAGCCAGGCTCTTCTCTGTGACATCTAGTGATAGGACAAGGGGCAATGGGTTCAAGCTGGAACATAGGAGGTTCCGCTTGAGTATGAGGAAAAACTTCTTTACAGTGAGGGTGACAGAGCACTGGAACAGGCTGCCCAGAGAGGTTGTGGAGTCTCCTTCTCTGGAGACATTCAAAGCCCGCCTGGATGCGTTCTTGTGTGATCTGATCTAGGTGTCCTGCTCCGGCAGGGGGATTGGACTACATGATCTTTCGAGGTCCCTTCCAATCTCTAACATTCTGTGATTCTGTGATTCTGTGATGAGCTGGGATCATTTCTCCACGACACAGCTCATCTTTCAGAGCTACACAAGTGGACTGGTGACTTAGAAATTCCAGAATGTGTCAAAAGCACATACATACAGACTGCTATCTAACTCTTGCATGGTACTTTCCACAAATAACCTGAAAAACTTTTTCTAAAAAAATGGATTCTCTCTTCCTCCTGTCAATGCAATTATGTGACCACAATTGATACAGAGGAAGCCATTTGCTTACATTCATACTGACAGACAGCAGAAACAGGAACAGAAGCCACCCTCAACTTCCCAGACTCACAGGCAGGTATAGCCTGTGCTATATTTCCTCCAACATCAGGTTTGATCCTGCAAAGCATAAACTAAGATACAAAGTTAGGGAGACGCTAACAAGCTTTCAGGATTGCCCAGCCCTGCAATAACGGGAGGAATAGTTTCTTCCAGTATTGGCACTGTAGGCAAGCATAACCATGATCTCTGTATCAGTAGATTCATTTTTTTGGTACAAGAAACACACTTGGGGCCTCACACTTAACCACTTTAGTGCAAGCACTTAAACAATTAAGCAGCACTGCTTACAGAAGCACACCAGTTTGCAAGATGGAGGTTCTTGGATGGAGAATACTTGCATAACAACTGATAATCCTCCAACCCCAAGCACGTGCTTAACTAATTTGCCCGACTGGGGATGTAATCCCCATGTGCTCAGGGTTCGGGGATTTTCGGTTGTTATGGAAGTATTCTGAAAATCATTGTACCAACCTTCAGAAGAAACACACAGTAGTGGCTAGAGATAAAGAAGTCTTGTGAGAGAGAGGAGCAAGGAAGAAATTTCTAATTTCATCCCAATTTTGGGGACAAAATTTTTATTGGAATTGCCTTTGAAGAAAAAAATTTCTTAAAAAAAATGCATCTCAAGACAAGCCTCCTCACTCTGCTCCCCACCCCAAGCTAAGCAAAGCTTTGTTGAAGAAACACCAAAGCTAGCAGGACTTGGGTTCAGGGCAAAGCTAGGGAGCCTGTTCTTCATGCGGTGGACAGTCCTGGTGTGGAACTCCTCGCACGCGATGCAAGCCAATAATCAGCACAACAAGACAAATTCAAGGAAGAAAACTGTGGAGGGCAGAACCACTGAAACCACACGCAGCTGAGGAAGTTCCCAGGCTGCAAGTGGTTTGGAGACTAGAAGGGTACTCTGAGGAGGTGTTATATGTATGTTCTTACGCTCCTCCATTTCTGTTGCTGACAGAGACAGGATACTTGGCTAAATGTACTCTTGGTCTAATTCGGTTTCATGCTCCTCTTCTTCTGACGACTAGGAGATGAACTGCCACAGTCTTCTGAACAGCAAAAAATAGTGGACAGATTTCCCAGGATTATCTGAGGCTCTGATGTAGGACAGCAGAATGGGAATGAAGTAATAAGCACAGTAACAAAGACAAGAAGGTCAGTGGGTAGGGGGGAGTGAAGCACAATATGCTGAGCTCAGTGGAAATACACATAATAAGATAAGCTTCAAGTATTCTTTACTAATGAGAAAGTAGTTAAGGACAAGGTCTTCCCAATACAGCCTTGAATTGCAACATTTGTAACAACTGGCCTAAAAGTGACCCTTTAGAAATTACTTCACAAAAAGTTAAATAAAACCTGCATGCCTGAGCAGCTAGCAGGGATTTGAAAGCTAACATGTTTCCTGGATCTCCAGCTCACTAGTACTGGAGAAAGGAGAATTTTCTGTTTACAATACAGTGTAGCACCAACTCCTCTACCTTCCTCACTATCTAGAACTGATGAGTCTTTTGCTGGCCACAGTTTCCTTTGGCAGGTATCTGCTAAAAAACTTTTGCACATTGACAGGGATTTATGCAGCACAACACTGCCATCAAATCTCTCTCAGAGTTCTCTGTCGCTCTCAGCTTCCTTGAAGAAAGCAGGTATGCTGAATTAACAAGAGTCCTGGTTCGGAAAAGATACCTTACCAAATGTGCTTAATTTTCCTACTAGAAAGACAATCTAGAAAGCAGTCATTATTTCTTACTCCAGTATCTCAGAACATGAAAAAAATGAAGCCTGCAGTAATGTATGAAGTTCAGCCCATACATTCAAAGCTTCTTTTCAAGTCGGACAGGCACACAGATTTCACAGAAGGATGTGTGATATGCTGCGAATCCAGTTTATGCTGCAGTACCATTCTGCAAGCTGAGATAATATATCTTGTTCTCTTATTAAAAATTGGGTTGGGCTTTTTTGTGGGACGGGGGAAGACTTCAAATACCTTCAGAAATCATATTCCTACATTCCAATTTTTCAAAAGGGCTGAAGGGAGTTGTTCTGGTTTATTTTCAGTAAGTCCCACTGTGCAAATCAAGTTGTAATAAAACAAGGTTTAAATCCAAGAAAAACAAGTTTTCCTAAGAATATCTAAACACTTGAATTGGTCTATGCTCACACTGCAATGTGTTTACAGCAACTTTCTAGAGTGGGACAGCTAGAATAGCTGCTGGGAGTTGCATTGATTGCTCCTTAATACATATAGGTACAAGTAATACTTATTACTTGTAAGTAATCAGCTGAGGTCACAAAAGCAAACAAAAACCTGCCATAGGCAATAAGGCGTTCTGATATTCAGCATTTTAGTATCAAAGAAATAATCAATAGATACAAACCTCTTCTTTCGTTTTCTTATTTTCCGCTCTAAGCTCTTCATATTCACCAATAGCTATACAAGAAAAAAAAAAAAAAAAGGAAAAAAGTTAATATTGCAGCACTTCCTTTACCCAAATTAGCTCTCCATTTCATTCACTTTAAAGCTCTTCTGGCTATCTACACAGACTTCTTAAATAACATGGGTCATAAACTTCATTAATAGGCTACGGATGAACTGGATATCCTTTTAGAATTTAAGTAATTGGAAAGTGTCTCAAAAAGATGGTGGCTCCCAAAACAATCAATTTTTGATCAAAGCAGAGTTAAATAATCTTATTGATTGAGTTCAAAAATTACAAGGTGAATGTACTGGCTTGCATTCACCATTTTAAAGCCACACTGGCTCAAGTTACAGATCAATGCTAGAAAGCACAGCTAATGCAATACTGTTACACATAGGTACCTCCAGAGTAGCTCAGCACCTTTATTTATTTATTTATTAACATTTTTTTCCAACAAGAGTCCTGTGAGACTTTTTCTTCTTTAGACTCCTCAGTGAAGACACGAACAGATTGTACGATTTACCCAAGATCACACAAGAACTCAGTTGTAGGGATCAGCAGGGAAGGGATCAACCTCCAGGATGCTGGAGGTCCATTGTTTCAAGCCAGTAAATAATATGCAGAAACAATCCATCAGCTACGATTTAAGCTTCCAGTTTACTGTGTATTTTTGTGTGTCGTTCTTGAACTTTTTATTTTACCACCTTAGAGACATGCCATTGTTGCCCCAACCTCCCAATTCTGTTGTTCTTTCACTGTGTCCCATACAGGCTGTTTGACCTTCAAGACCATAGAAATTCTGTTGTCACTAGAAAGAAGCTGAATACATCTCCAAACATTAGCGAAACAAACCGTGCTAGAAAGGTACATTTTTCAGTCAAGATGCATCCTGCAAGAACAAAATGAGAGGGCTGTTGACATTACACCTTATTCCAGCCCCTCAGAATCTCCTCAAATTTTTGCTTGTACCTAGCAGAAGCTATACTAGCATACAGGTGTTATTTCAAGACAACTTAATTAAAACTGGATAAAGGGTATGAATATATAGTTTTCAGCTGATGATAGCAGAGATGTTGGAAATTCATCTTAAATTTAACGTCTTACTCCACATCTGAGGACATGTACAAGTGCAGTCTGCTAAACTAGCTATCTGAAAGCCTACAAGCCCTTTCTAGCTTTAGATACTTAAACTTTTTCAAACAAGAAGCTCTTACAAATAAAGTTATACTTTACACTATTGTGATGTCCCTCTTCTCCCCCTGCCCCCAGCTTTTCAAAACCTATTGAAATAAAACTAATTCAATTCACTCCTGAAAGCTAGGTCCACAGTATGACTGTTCTGCTTGCCTTCAGCATGCCTATCACTCTCAGTAGCAGCACGGAAGTACCTCGGATGTAAAAAACTCAAATAATCCTAATTCCTCTTTTCTCCAATCTCACTTCATTTTAGAGATGCAGGACTGAGCTACATTAAGGCTGGGATACACAGGACTCCGCTCCTTATGGGCCCAGATCAACAACAGTGACAGGACAAGACCCTGCAGACTATATTAGCTAGAAAGGAAAACAAGAAACAGTAGAAAACTGCTAGCCAGAATCCCAGCTCTGCTGTTACCAGTAAGTGTTGAAAAATTTCCAGGGCTCTCAAAGAAAAAATGTTAAACAAAACCACTGAAAACAAAGTCACAGGCCACATGCAAACTCACAGGAAATCTAATAATTTAAACAGATGGGAAAAAATCCTCACTGCTGTTCATTCAACTAAAAAGATGTATCTAGAGAGGGAAACAAACAAAACCAGGTTTCTTAGAAATCTGCCCTGCATCCCCCTGCCAATAAACCCAAGGTCTCTCATCCATCCTTCTATTTTGTCCCCAATTCTCCTTACCTACCCCTGAGACCCCTAACCCACCTCCCATGCTCAAGAAAGAGAAAACAAACAACAGGTAAATGAACAGGGAAGAAACCACGCTGATGCAGTTGCTCTAAGAAAGGGCACCTGAAGTTAAACAACATTATTTCCAACACAGGAAGGCAAAAGCTATGCCTGTTGATCACTGTTCCACTGTTCCATTTCCATGTTCCCTTTAGGAAAACAAGGGAAGAGATTTCCAGCATCCAGACGCAAGAAAAGGAATTAAAACTGTATTAACAGGCACAATTCAAGCTTCTTCATACTTGAAAATTGACAGTGTTTGCTCGCTCTTAAGGCAAACTCATATTTGTTATTCAATACTTCATAAATGACTGAAAACTTAAACATAGATTTGCCCCACCCTTGACAGCTCTCCTGATATGCTCCATGAAAAGATAACTCTGAATCATCAGCCCTTAAGGCATGGATACAAGAACATGTTACCAAAAAACAAGGATATGAACTTACAAAATGCTCCAGCAATCCCCGGTAAGGGCTCACCTGTGTGAAACTGGAAATCAAACTGCCCAGTCAGGGTAGCCCTTCCCTCTTTTACTGTGGGTGGTAATCCACGGCACGTTTGTTGTGGAATGAAAACACAAAATTATCAGCTACTCCACGCTGAACTCACACAACAACTTCCTTCAGTGCTTTTTTACCATGCCCAACCCCTTACTGTAATTGCAAAACTATGAGCTCTTCCTTGAATACAGCTAATGCACAGTAAGGATCTGATGGCTTAAAATAAGATTGTTCTTCATGGATGGCAGGCAACCTCTAGAAGAGGCTCCCATAGAGATTCCATCATTCGGATTTTCAGGTATGGATTTACTAAACACTAAATCTAATTAAGAAACTGCTGGTTTTATCAGGCCTGGAAACAGAAACAATAATTAAAAAATTACTACACATTTTCTGCTGTATATCAGATTCTCTGCAGTGGCAGAAGATGACTTAGAAGTCATGAAGTGTGACTGGAAAATTAGTGGAATTTTTTCTTTTTTTTTCTTTTTTTTTTTCTTTTTTTTTTTTTTTTGAACACTAGGGGCAGGGGGCAGTTATTGGGAAGCTTTTATATAAAGTTTTTCAAGTGCTTGATGTACCATGAAATTTTGAGGGCATCTCTAAAAAAAGTCAAGAGCCTACATAACCTTCACTGAAGCACTAAATGCCATAAAGGTGACAATGATCGCTTTTGCTCTAAATCTACCCTAGAACGATTAATACCAGAGGCACTAGGCAACACTTTACATGTTCCAAATCTAGAGATTATTGAGCCTTAAAACCCTCTTTGGTACATTATGAGATATCATTATTCATTTATAGATTGACAAGCAATAAACCGTGTTGTACAAGGACTTCCCTCAACCTCCTCTGAAAGACAGGACTATTTCTTCTCCTTAACCTATGAAGGTGTTCACACAATATACACGAGAACAGCCTCTAAGCACCTCAAAACCTCTTACATCTCACCTAGACTCATTCAGTTTATGTTATATGTAATTTGCCCTGGAATGAAGAGATCTTTTCAATAAATTAGTGGCGAGCAAAACAAACAAGTGAAGACGCTTTACTAAATGTACTACTAAAATTCCAGAACAATACATCGTTTTCTCATAGTATCAATATTGTAGCATATAGATAGTAAAATGCCGACATTGTAGTCATTAGCCTCCAGTGAATCCTGAAGAGCTACAATAAATACATAGCAGAGACCTCTTGAGATACTGTCACTGTCTGACATGAACTTAAGTTTACCCTTAATAGAATTACTCCTGATATACTGCGGTATTATATAAACAATTCATCAGGATACAAATCATATTTCTTTGCTTCAGGCTATCTTCATGCAGGATGTGGGCAACACTACAACTTCAGTTCAAGACTAAGGACAGAAAAAAGCTGGAAAAAGGAGAAAAGAACAGAATATTTTGGGCTATAGCTCTTAACCCACCTAAGACATATTCCTAGTCAACCCTGCTCTTATTGTAAAACAGTCAAACCACAAAATAGCTAACATGAGTGAGCACAGCATGCTTCCTCCTAACATGACCATCCTCATTCACCAGCTACTCACTCCACAGCTCAGTTGGCCAGAAGGGACTGTCCTGTCAACAAGTATCAATGCACTTTACCTGTATTAAATTAAGCAGGTAACTTTGTATACAGAAGCTCCTTTAATTATATCTTAGTCTTTTGATTTTTAGTTGTGAACCTGTGACTCCTGAACCTGGATTTTCTGGCAGAAGATATATATTATCTAAATTAGATGTTTTATATATTAGATACCTATTATGGCTAAAAAGCACTTATTAGTAAAACAAGGTCACAAGGGCAAAAGTATGTAATGACTGTAATTCATAGTGAACAACAGAAAAAACACCTTCATTTACACAGTGAGGTGGTGAGTCTCTTCCTACTCTTTTTATTAAAAAATTCATCAACCCCCTTTCTAAAGCTATATATTAAAAAATACAAATTACAAAAAAAAACCTTAAGAACACTACATGCATATATTTTACCATTTATATTGTAAAACAAGGTAACCCTCAAGTATATTGAGAGCCCTTCCATGCCAACTCAATGACTAATGCCACTTCAGCATTTCAACCCTACTTATTTAATCAAAAAGTAAGTAAAGCTGTCAAGGAAACCAAGTGTCATTCTGCTATTTATTCTTCTAGACTACGGACCAGGCATGTCTTTACGGGTACAGGTAAGAGAAAAAGTTTACACCACAGAAAGTCCTTCTCTCTAGATGAAACAAGCTAGCCTAATGAAGCCTTCTTTTGATGGTACAAGTAAATTAACACCTGGCTTTTTGCAGGTTTGGATATCTCATTGGAGAGAGAATGACCCCTGACAGCAACACTGCACCAGAAGCTTTAATGGGACTGCTGCCACCACCGTCCTCATCCCAGCGTACCTGGAACAGGCAGTGTCAGGCCAAGCCCGTTGTACAAACCATCTCTCAAGTAGCAATTGTCTCCCAGAAGCACAGCATGCACAAGACCCGTGAACTGCTGTCAGGAGTATAAACAAAAGTCAAAAGTGCCCAATTTTTCTCTTGTTCCCTGTTTCAGGCTCA